GGCAATGAGATAAAAATATGGAGAGAGATTCCAATAAAGATTTCAATCATGCAGTTCAATTCAAGAATGTGCTATGTATTCAAACTTATCCTTTGTTGTACTCAATTTGCAAGTTTATTTTTTCTGTTTTTGTACAATATTAAATGATGATTTTTGACGGAATAAAATGTGTATTTTTGAATCTATCTCCACTCTGAGCGGAATATTCACACATTCAACAGTCGCTCCATCGGGAGTTCTCGAGAAAGACTGAAATATCGCTCATTTCAAATGAACAAAATGAATGTCCTAATCACCTTCATAACGTTTGAGCGTTTTTTTTGCGTCAAAAAAATTACAGAATGCGTTTTTTATTGCTCTTTTCTCGTTCCTCTTATCTCGTCTCACTTAAAAGGTAGCACGTATCGTCTAGTCACCCATTGTGTTGGTGTTATCGATCAACCTTCAATTGCACCTATTGTAAATTGATCGTGTTCATTTACTGTCGTTTATCGAACCGTCTTAACTTCGAGCAAAATTTTTTGCTTTGGCTTTTACTAACAATAAGCACAAGATTACAATTTCTATTTGCGTGATCCGAAATGTTCTTTCAAAAGTAATCTCAGATTGTTTGCTTCAAGATTCATCTGATTTTTTGGTTGAAAAGTTGTATTTCTAGCCAATCGCTTGTGCCAGTGTCCGGTACGGAATCTTAAGATATTTCTGGTTTAGTTGCAGTTCTAGCGTGTCTNGAACATAATACTGCCGACTCGTTGTGGATTGTTTATGAGGATAAAGTTCTGGATATCACTCGTTTCACAGACGAACATCCTGGAGGAGATGAGGTTATCGTTGAAGAGATAATTCAATTCGTTTGGCTCAAGGAAACCTCTTTCGGTGTACTCTCTCATAATTGGATATCATTAAATCAGCTTTTGAATGAAGTCAACGGATGTTCTGATGTCAAGGAAACATCACAGTGAATTTCTATTTGAATTGTCGTTACTTGAATGAATTTGATTGCAAGCTTTGGGCTCATAATGTTGATGTTTCAAGCTCACGCTTGAAAATTCAAACTTAAAACTGAATTTGCAACCGAGATGTTCAGTTACTGTGAAGATTGCAATGAGTATCTATTGATTCGAAATGAAGTGTTGTGCGATGATGACCATGAAATTAAACAATAAAAAAGACAAGATATGAATTAAAGAACGATTCTCGTTGGAGGTATTACTTGAAGTGGCTGGACAAGATGGTACATCGAAATTTATTGACGCTGATCATTCAAAAGATGCCGTTGAAATGATAGATCAGTACGTGATCGGTAGGCTTAAAGAGAGCGATCGACAGCGACTTCAGTCTGCTCAGAAGCGATCATCAGCAGGCAACAACACCCGTCGCATTCAACTTCTGTGTGCTTTGGGTGCCGGAGTGATTTTGATCGGTGCCTTTGTTGTTTACAGATACATTCGGAAGTAATTTCTTCGCAATTGTTATATTCAGTTCTCATCCCTGTGATCAACTGCTTATGGTTCGTTCATCCCATCAGTCTCACTCCCAACTTCATCTGAAGTTGGGAGTGAGACTAACATTTTCGATTTTCCAAAAATCAATTTAGCTTACAACTAGGCAAAAACCATCAGAGTTCATTCCACTCATAGTCTCATGGTATGCTTCATCGGTATTTGCATTCTACCGAAAATCGTATGTAAATTGTAACACCTTCGGTATTTCGAACGTCGCTCAATAAAATTAAAAGTTGCCGTTGGTAACTGAGAAAGGAAACGGACAAAACAAAAACTTCAACGAATATGTATCGAATCGATTTATTCTGTGATTTATCGTTCGCTCATCTATTCGACTATTCATCTCTTATCATCATTTCTTTACAATATCGATGCAAATTTTTCTCGTTACTCGATGATCATAAAATTCAGAAAATAAAAACTTGAATATGACAACGGAAAAGAACACAGAAAAGATTAATCAAAGATTACTTGTTAGACAATATGCATTCATTAAAAAAGAGGTATTTTTAATACTATCACTTACATTCAAACGAAAGACGTCTTCAATATTCAAAATGCAATACAAATAATCTTCTTATCGCTTCGTCAAACGTATTTCAAATTTAAAAAATATTACATACAACATACCAAAGCAAATCAATCCTATCATCATATCATTTTTCGACTGAATAAATGGCAAAACTTAAACGAGATGAAATTTCACAAAAGGTTTCGCATTCGTCAGTGGAGAAAAACAACTTCTGTAATGGTCTAAATAGTTCGAGAGATCATTCCACAATCAACGAGTCTACAGGATAGAAGATTTTTAAAAGTTCGTTACAGTTCGATCTGCTTGACTGATACGAATGAATTGGTTCATACGCTCAAAATGCTAACCCTGATTATGCCAATTTATCGCGATTCATGAAGAACAGATCCCGTAGCGGTGTTCTCGAATCAATTGGTAATCGTTTAATTCCAAGTATCTGTTTGACACGTGGGTGCCGTAACATCAGGCTCTGCACTACGCCAGTCACGGAAACCATCAGCCAGTATAATGGAATACACTAAAAGTGGTACATTATCGTAATTTATACACCGATCAGCACGGGTGAACACTACTTGATTATACCATTTTCATAAGCGATTCGCTTTTTTCCACACATTCAAATGGGAAATCTTGAGTAAAATTCTGATTGAATGTCGAATTGTTTTGAATCGATCTTTCGATTGTTATGGATTAATAACAAACAAAAAAATGATCAAAATCAACTTACAGCCGGCATATCCATCATAATCCGAACAGCAAATAGTGTGAAAAACACCAGCAGGACATCGTACGACCTCGTGCGAAACGTATTCATTACCACCGGATAAANTGTCCTTTCAAGAAAGAATCGAGTTGTATGAGGGAGGACGCATTCAATAGTGACAACCTACCCATAAATTGAAGAAGCCAAACACTCCCACAGCTATTGGCAATATAAAATACGGATCCGGTTGCAACAAATTCGGAAACCAAAGAATTCCATCGATGCTTGGATGGAAATCAGCTGAAATTCCTCTCTTCATTTTCATTCAGTCCGTCAGCACGTTCCTGCTTGTGATCGGATGCAATATAAGTTCATAATACAGGAAGGTGACTGAACAACTGAACAACTGTATGGCATTTGTCAACGTGAAGTGTCAATGATCAATGAACAAACATGAGATAATATTGCGTAATGCGAACGATGAAAATATCCAAACTGGCACAGTACACATTTTCAGGTTCTGAATTCGGGATGCCTGCAGACGATTTTCGCGCAAATACTTCGCGGTGTGCTCTTCAATCTGAAATTAAATCCGCTATATTCCGTAAAACTAATTCCGTACACTAAACTGTCACAATATTAATTTCGACTGTTACAGTTTAGAGTTCCGTAAATTCTGTACGCAATTGTACCCTCTAAATTGTACCCAAACCTAATACTACTACAAATGACCCTGTACCCTCTACTATTTCAATTGATTGCATGTGCGTCATATACTGAACACAAGGTAAATTTTTGAAAGGAAACTTACGAGCTCATTACTTCTTCGTAGAATTTTTTCATCCGTAGTGTTCAGCTGCAACTTCGTTCCGTCTGCACTAGGCACTATGTCCAACTTGTAGTAGGCACTGAGTCTCTGGAATGAGAAACGAGATCAATGTCAACATTTATTTATTTATTTACTCACAATCANACTCCATTTATCACCATTATCACAGTTCACTACTCTTCTCATCCATGTTTGGCCGGCCATTTTGCTAATAGTCTTGTTTGTGTTGTGCAAATTTTGCAAAAAAAAAATTCCAACAAAAAAAGATGCACGATCTGTAAAAGATCCACCTTAAGGATTTCTTGGTTGAAAAAATTTGTTGCGTGAAGTCGTTTCGCGAAAATTTTCTCAGCCATTATATGAGTCGGTGATGTGACAAGACGCAGCGCTAGCCCAGAAATCACTATCGTTCCAACCCACGGCATGCCCATACTGTGAAGACCTGAAACACTCACTCGGAATGAGAACATCTCTCTTGCCATTGATCACCTCAGCTACTAAAGGACAAGCCTGAATCAATTGAGCGTTCAGCACAAAAATAATGAAATTATTACATCTTTCATCGTCCATTATTACCGAACATATTAATATCAGATTACTTTTATTATACCTTCAATAGCGTACTGTACTCCAGTTGTAAGATTACAGTACTGTGCATACTCGAAAACTGCTGCGATTGCAGGAGGTAATTGAGTTACTGTACGATGGGAGTTGAACTGAATTTTGAGGTGATGAGTAGTGCATTGTGTTGNTATTCAAGTATGATTCCAACAAAAACTCCTCAGAATTCACAAATAACAGTTCCTTCCATCAACCAACCTATGACCACTCCTATGGTATTTGCACTCGCCGTTCGCTCTTTGAACCAAAACAAACTCACACAAATAAAGCATGCCTAATCAAGGAGTGCATGGAACGGATGGGTCAGAAGAGTTCTCCTGACTCTATTTTACTTACCTCCCATTTGCAGAACTGAAAACCTCCCAACCTCACCGGTATCATTGTCAGACAGCAATGTGTTTCAACATGATATTTTCAAAAGCGACCATAAGAATAATTTCACGCGAAGCATTTTATTAGTTATTCATCTCAAAAACAAGAAAAGTGTATAGTCATGTAAATAACAGTTCTCGATGCATCACTGACAAATCATCACGAATGCACTTCATGCAAGATGCAGCAGCTTAAGGACATTCCATGTGAAATGAAGGTGATGCCCGATATTACAGTTAATAGTCATCATCAAAAATACAGTGCAGTACAAGTGGCCGTGCTTTACTTGACTGGTCAGGAATATTACTATACAATGTAAGGCATTCTAGTTGAATGTGAAGTTATCAACTAAAATCAAATTCAAATTAGTAAGACAGATGCTGAGCCGAATCAGAGCTGATGTATTTTCTCAGACACTTGAAGTAACCAAAGCATAGTCAATGAATCGGCAATACCACAATTCCATGCGAAACACAAAAAAATTGCGGTCGTAATCAGCAGTACTGATGAAGCATGATAACAGGTTATATTCTCATCATCAACTACAATATCACAGTTTTTCAATTGAACAAGTAGAGGATTTGAAAGAATGATATGAATTCGAAATATGTAAATATAGAGGAGCATTCGAAGCAGATTCTTTTTCTAAGGACGAAACTCCGTCTTTTGCGATCATCGCGTTCCTTCATCGACCGAGTTTATGACCTTTCCCGGAGAATGATCCTGACGGTGCAGATGCGCTGGCAACCCCTACAGACTGACCACTGACGTCCCTGGCTCTCGTCATGTTAACGCCTTGAGAATACCCAGCTGGCCTTACTGGATGAGCACTTGCCGATGTTCGCCCTACAATAATCAGACGAGAATATAAATGAGAAGTCTCGAACTCGACTTAAATGGTATTTCACATGAGAACTATCGATCAAGGGATATTACAATATAGCATAAACTGTACTAATATCGACCAGAAAGTCCATGACTGCAATCGTCATATGTCTTCTCATTTTCTACTGCTGATAATTACAAGTAAGGTACTCCAACATCGATAAATATCGATGCTTGTGTACCACATATGTAACTATATTCCTATGGAATTCATTTCATTATTCGTATGACACAATGAATGCGACGAAGTCGCGAGCGAATGAACTCACCTGAGGATGCACTTAAATTGGTCACAATAAGCAGTATTGGTATCAAAAGCAATGACTGTACTCCAAAAAGCATAACTGCGGCAATTGTGAATATGAAATGTATAGGTTCAAATTTATAGCCATACAAAGAATACGTTGGAATGCCGTATTCTCGAAGACGAGCATTCGCCACTGTCCACGCATTCAGTTGTGGACCACGGTGCACCTGAAAAGTCTTTAGAATTCGGTTTTTTCCAGGGAGACATTAAGCTATGATACTCTGGGACTACTCCCGTTAACATCTTGTGTTCAAAGCATAAACTGTACGAATACCGGCCAGAAAGTCCATAGAAATAATTTCAGGGAATAAAGAAATGAACCATACGTCAGCAACATCTAGGTTGTCCCGTTGCCGAGCGATACTGTTCGGAGATGGCCCTTGGTCAGTTGGTCGTCTTCGTTGCACAGTCGCATTACTCGCAGCATCGTCATCATTGACAATATCACCGTCACTCGTTATTCGAACCATAATTCCAGTTGCACCGAACCACTGAAGTAATCGATCGATCACCGATATTAATCCCTGTTACTCGCACAATATCAAATGCTAACAGCTTGCAAAATCGGTAATATCCGACTTCTGCGCAGCGAATTTGATTCACAAGGTGATCCTTCAATTTGTGAGGTCATTCCTGACGAACATT